TGTGCTGTGAAGTCACTTTTCAATCACTGTGATGCTGTATAGGATTTCTGAGGCTATAAATCTTTTCAGAAGCAGAAAGCCTCATCTTTCTTCCAAGAAGCAGCTGATAGATTCAAATTACTGACCTTTCAGTTAGCATCCCAGCTTGTAATCTACTGAACTACCAGGGTTTAACAAAACATTTGGTGGTGGTGGTGGTGGTGGTAAGTGTTGTCAAGTCGGTTCTGACTCATAGTGACCCCGTATACGGTTTCTGAGGAGCAGCCGGAAAACTTGAACCACAAACCTTGTGGTTCAAATCTACCTTGCAGTCCAGTGCATTAACCCACAGAGCCACACATTAAGCATTCATTAATTATTTATCTTTTAAAATAAAAGAAATGGCGCTTCCAGGACCAGAAGGAAGTGGTGAGATTTAATCTGAAATTTTTCTAGGAAAAGAACGATAAATCTGTATAGAGAATAAGAACATATATTACTTGATCTCTCAAGGATAGCCTCTGGCTTTAAAAAGTCCTGAACTTACAGCAGTCCATTAGAGCAAGACAGTTCAAACCAAGAGTCACTCCTTGAAAACCCTATAAAGGGTAGCTATGAGTAGGAACCATGAAGGGCTTCTAAAAGTGAAGCATAAAAAGCAAAGGGAATGATTTAAAATAAATCCTGTGGAGAGATTAACCAAAACCAAGGCCCACTGACCCGGAGTGCATTTTGACTCCCAGTGACCATACGGAAAACAGATCTAAACACCGTCCAGTACTGTACCAGCGTCACAATTGTTACACTTGAGTCCACTGCTGCCACCATGTCGATCCATCTCCTTGATTTCTTGGCCTAGATGAGTGCGTGCAGTGCTGTAGCAGTTTGTTCAAAGATTTCAATTTGTATTCCATCAATTCCCAACGCCTGTTCCTTTCCAATGCCTTCAGTGCAGCTTGAACTTCTTCCTTCAGTACCATTGGCTCTTAATGATATGCTACCTCTTGAAATGGTTGAACATCAAACATTTCTTTTTGGTACAGTGACATTGTGCATTACTTTCATCATTTCTTGATGCTTTCTGAATCATTCAATATGCTACCCATATAAGCCTTCAATGTTTCAAATTGTGGCTTGAATTTTTCCTTCAGTTCCGTCAGCTTGAGAAATGCTGAGCATAGCTTTCCCTTGTGTTTTACTAGCCAGGTCTTTGCACATTTCATTATAATATCTGCCTTTGTCTTCTCAAACTGCTTTTGAAATTTTCTGTTTAGCTCCTTTACCTCCCACATCTTCCATTTACTTTAGCCTTTCTATACTGGCAAGCAAGTTTTAAACTCTCTTCTGAACTCCATTTTGGTGTTTTCTTTCTTATCTTCTTAATGACATTTTGCTTTCGTTCTGTATCATATTCTTGATATCATGCCATAACTCTTCAGTTTTTTGGTCATTAGTGTCTAATGCATCAAATCTGTTCTTGAGATGGTCTCTGAATTCAGGTGGAATATAT